GGCAAGAAAATCACAGGGAGGGGATTCGCCCATCTCAGGCGTCAGAAGCGGAGTGCAGACCAAGTGTAACGGATCCACGACAGTAGAGTGGTTCAAGCAGACATCTGGTTTATAACTGAAATCAGAGGCTTAACTAAGTAATATAGGAAAGCTCTATTTACTTTATTGTATTTTTATAGAAGAAAGACATGATGGTATTCTTGTAAAATTCCAAGTTATAACTATATGTGGAGTAAAAAATGAACCCCCTCTTCATCCACCCTTCTTTTTTTCTTGAGATGGAGTCTAGCTCTGTTGCCCAGGCTGGAGTGCAGTGGCACGATCTTGGCTCACTGCAACCTCTGCCGCCTGGGTTCAAGCAGTTCTCCTGCCTCAGCCTCCTGAGTAAATGGGATTACAGGCATCCGCCACCACGTCCAACTAATTTTTCTATTTTTAGTAGAGATGGGGTTTCACTCTGTTGGCCAGGCTGTTCTGGAGCTCCTGACCTTGTGATCTGCCCGCCTCAGCCTCCCAAAGTGCTGGGATTACAAGCGTGAGCCACCGCACCCGGCCTCACCCTTCACTTTTTAAGGGTGAAACTCCAGGTGAAACCTGGCCAAGCCCTGAAAAGCCCAGTTCAGGGTGAAGAGTGGCCCAGGCTGTAAGTAGCAAGTAAGAGATGATGCCCAGCACCGTCCTCCCTCCTGGGGGATGCCATACCAATTCCTGGGTCAGAATTAGGTATTTTAAAATTTAGCACAGAACAAGCGTTCGTTAAGCATCATCTGTTATCACATAAAACACTTTTTTGAGAGGAAGGTACAAAGTTCCCACATGCCTCCTGCCCCCACACACGCATAACTTCTCCCATTATCAGCATCCCCCACCAGAGTGGTACATTTTTGTTACAACAGAAGGACCTACATTGACACATCATTAACACATCAAAGCCATAGTTTAATTAGGGTTCATTCTCAGTGTTGTGCACTGTATGGGCTTGGACAAATGTGCGAATGCTCCTCAACTCAGATGGGGCTATGTCTAGATAAACTCACTGTAAGTTGAAAATATTGTAAGTTGAAAATATATTTAATATACCTACCCTACCTTAAACATGCTCAGGACACTTACATTACCCTACATTTGCATAAAATCATTTAACACAAACATACAAAGCCTATTTTATAATCAAGTGTTGAATATCTCATATACCCTGTCACTAGCTTTGGAAAAGATCAAAATTGGAAATTCAAAGTGCATTGAAATTGCAATGGTTTCACACCATTATAAAGTCAAAAAATTGTAAGTCCGGGACCATCTATATAATGACATGTACCCACCGTTATAGCATCATATAGAGTGGTTTCAATACTCTCAAAATCCATTGAGCTCCACCTATACCTATTCATCCCTCCCTCAGTCCTTCACACTGGCCTGTCGCCAGAGTTTTGACTTTTCCAGAATGTAAAATAGTTGGAATGGAACCCCAGGGGCAGGATTTTGAAGTTTCCTGGACTCTTTCCCAAGGTAGGTAGAGAGAACTGGGCCAGTTCATGTCAGTATTGGGTCCCCTGAGATTTCTCTGTAATCATAAGAGAGCAACACAAAGAAACCTTTTATTTTCTGTATTGGGATGGGATGAGGGGATGTTAAAGTAGGGAATGGTGAAGAGTGAAGAGAAAGGAACATTCCAAATGCACTCTAGCAAGAAGATAGGAAAAGAGAGGCAAAGTTGGAAGTGAAGGAGGCAGCCTGCTCTCATGCTCCCCAGATTGAAATTGGGGTGTGGAGATGGGCGTGGATCAAGGGTGTGGTAAGGAGATGGCTGCACATCTGGGATGACTACCTTCTCAAGTTCCACTGTCATTGGCAAGTTGACCCTTCCTCCCATCTCCCTCCTTCTCTACTCCCTTTTCTCTGGGGTTGAGCTAGCCTGCAAGATGAAAAAAGTCACATCTCATAGAAGACACTGCTCGTGATGGGAGTGAGTCTGGTGCTGAGGACCAGCCCCCTTGGTGTGCATGTGGATGGAGGTTGATGGTTCTTAGGGATGGTTTTTGAGGTTGAACTGCAATCCCCCTTCCATGCCACATAGTATTCCTGTGTAATTCTTCTCACGAAAGTGTTCAAAAAAGGAAGGAGACATTCGCAAGAGATAGATGCTATGAGAATGAGCCACTTGGAGCCCTGACAAAAGCCTACATTTAACCCTGGCACACTCCTATTCGGAGGTTGGCTCCCTAGTTTGGGCATTGTTCAGGCTCTTTATTTACATTTCTTTCTTCCTTTCTTTCTGACGTATCTGATTGTTGGGTGTTTTGCAGCTCAGGCTCACTTCTACTAGCGTAAAGAGAAAAGATACATTACAAACCAAACAAGCTTGCCACTTGTTAATCACTAAAGATTTGGCATGGCAATGAGCTAATGCTAAGGTCTCAATTCAAGGTTTGGGATTGTATTTGGAATATGCAAAGAAACAGAATTCATAGGATGTATGGAAAGAGATTTGTTATGGAATTTGGCTCTCATAATTATTGAGGCTGAGATGACCCACAATCTGCTGCATGATTGTGGGACATAAGCTGGAGAGTCAGAAAAGTTGGTGGAGTAGCTCCAGTCCAAGCCCAAAGGTGTGAGAAGCCAGGGAGGGCATCGTACTAATGTAAATCCCTGTGCGAGTTCAAAGGCTCGAGAACCAGGAGGGCTGATGTCTCAGGGCAGAAGATGCATGTCCCAGCTCAAGCAGAGAGACTGTCTTCCTTCCTCAGCCTTTTTGTTATGTCAGTCCTCAATGGATTAGGTGATGACTGGCCACTTTGGTGAGGATGATCTTCTTTACTCAGTCTACCAATTAAAATATTAATCTCTTGCAAAAATACTCCCACAGACACAACCAGAAATAGTGTTTTACCAGCTATCTGGGCATCCTTTAGCCCAATCAAGTTGACACATAAAATTAAACATCACAGAGATTATGTGTGAATTGGAGGTCAAGCTAACAACTGAGAATAGATGTTCTCAAAAGTGGGAGGTGAGGAAACAGGTAGAGCAGGGGGTGGTGGGAGATGATGGGTGGCAAAATGAAGAGTGGAGGCTGGGAGGTAGAAGCCTCCCCTCCCCAGGCTGCTGAGTGTCCTCCAGAGGGAAGAGGAGCATTAGTCCTAACTTGTGGGGCAGCGTGTTATTCATGTTGGAAATAGGGGTTAAAAAATAAGAAGAAGTGAATGAGAAAAATCCCTGCCCTGCTGCAGAGGGTGGGAGATCTCAGTGAGTCCTGGTGGATGTGGAGTTTCTCCAGGCTGATTAAGTGGAATTAACTCCGAGGTCTGGGATCTTACAACCTCCTGTTGCTCTCATCTCTCCAAACCCTTGTTTTACTCTACAGAGCCTCCTGGAACCTGGAGGAATTTATTAATGAGGTCCAATTATGGAGAATTTCCGGATTTTAATCAACTTTGGGTGCAGAGCTGAAGGTCCATCTCCTACCTCACCAGCCTGAAACCACACATTAAACAAGATCTAAGATGAGCTGCATACTTTCCATGCCGCCCCCCTCCCCAGCCCGGTTTCCCCACCTCCAGCCCTCTCATCCTTTTCCTCTATGGCCTCTCCACCCCCACTTCTCCTCCACCGCATCCCCCACCCCTGGCCTTCACACAGAGCAGAGGACTGCAGTTACTCCCTTAGTCTAAAAACTGCAGGCCAGGCAGGGCAGTAGTCCTGGCTGGCTTCTGTCCAAGCTCTCCCCCCCTCATTTGTGGCTTTCATCTAGGTGTTCTGAAGAGACTTTTCCTGGCCATTCCACCCTTGTCTTTTGCAGTAAACAATCTTCATTTCCTCCTCCAGGATATTTTTGAAGACAGATTAGAGGCTTGAAAAAACACTTGAAATAACTCTTTAAACAGGTTTTCCAAACACTGGTGGAAGGAAACAAAGGCAATGTGGGAGAATCAGATCCGAACTGTGCTCTATTTATCAGCCTGTGTTGCCTAAAGCCCCAAGTAGCTTGAGTTCTCCTTGGCCTGTGAAACGGCAAACTTCCAGGGCTCGGTGTCTGCGGCTGCTCCTCACGCTGGGAGACACGGCTCCTCCACCAGCTGCTGTGGGAATGCCACATCTGGCATTCCTGCAGCTACTTCCTCTCCAGGGAGAAGCCAGGGCTCCACCCTGTGCAGTTTCACAGAATGATGCCGAGACTCTTGGGAGAAAGGCTGTGAGCTGCTGACATCCTCCTGGGTTCTGCAGGGCTTAGAGGCTCTGTTCAGCTGATTAAACATTCTTCATCTGGGAAGACATTTAAAGGGACCATGGCGCAGCATGGCCAGGTTTTCCAGAGCTGAAGATTCTTTTTATTAAAGTGGGAGGCATGTCTATTTCTTCAATTTTTTCAAAAATTGAAGCAAAGTTCAGAGGTGGGAGCTTTAGCCCTGCCTCTTTGATGAAGACTTCCCTGTCCACTCTAGTCAAGAGGGACTTCTTAAATTAGCTAAGATTTTTTGGTTGCAAGCAACTGAAAAGCCACTTTATCTATAGATTGAACAAATTAGAGCATCTGTAGGCTCTGGAAATCAGGGTGGGAATAAATTTAGTCTCAGAAATAAATGGAACCTGTGGGATGCTGAATCTGGCTCATGCAAATTCTTGAGAGCCAACTGTTTGATTTTGAGGGATTTTGTAAGCCAGTTGTTAAATACAACATTATTAAAAAATAAATGCTGTAAACTCATGAGTAAAAATTATATTAAATACAAAAGTAACACATTCTAAAGTCTCATTACTTCTCCATTATTTTACTGCATTTGGCTATTATCTATATACCCTTGAGATTCCTTCTATCTGTGGTATTGGTATGGTAGAAACCTTGTACAGAGGTGTCCTATTACGCGTCTCTTTCCAACTCTGTATGTGTTGATGTCATTTTGGAAGTGTGAAAATGGCCATAGCGGAGGCATTTAAACCATGGAAATGAATGAATGCTTAAAACCAAGGCTTAATCTATTGTTTTTTTGATTGTCTAGATTCTAGACTTAAGAAAGTGATGAAGAAAATGTTGAAAATGCAATGAACTTGGAAGTGTGTTGTAGCTGTAGTCCTTACATTGTGAATAGCATTGAAAATTGATAAGCTCTTTCAGATTTTGAGAACAATTATTTGACTTGGCAAAACTGTCATATCACTGAAAAGTGAGTCAAGCTCCAGTATGTGTCTTTGTTGATTTACTTTATTTTACTTACCTGAAGAGAATTACCAACCACCATTTGTGTCAGAACTACATTTGGAGAACTGATTGTTAAACACTTACCAGCACACCACTGTCTATGATGTCTCTTATTTCATATACCTAGTTATTTCGTGGTATTGGCTTTCTTTCCTCAGACCAGCATCTACCAACAGGCTGGAACTATGAGCTTTGGCAACCCCAAAGTTCATGTGCCCAAGCTTCATTTCACAAGAGGGTCAGAAAGAAGGAACTCTCTCACCTTAGTTCCAATTTGAAGACACTAAAGAAGAACTCTGATTGGTTTGATTTGTATCTGATGACCAGGAAAGCAGAGTTCTATGATTGGCCCAATAGAGGAACATTGTGTGCGTTTGTGTATGTGTGTGTGTGCGCGTGCGCGCGCACGTGCACATGCCTTAGCCACAGGAGGATATTGAAGACCACATCCTTAGAGGAAAGAGGTTGCGATTGAAAAACAAAAACACAAACAACAAAAAAAAGAGGAGATGTACATAGCAGAAACAATAGATGTCCTTTTTACCATGTGACTGTGTAAATTTAGCAAGTAATTAAATCTTTTTGAACTTCAATAACAGTGAAATAATTTAATCTCTTTCATAGGGCTATTGTGAGGATTAAGCAAACAATATACACAAAGCATTTTGCATATAACAAATACTCAGATTATAGTGGTTATAGCATTATTTGAGGTCATGTCATTTTTCCTAGAATGTACACTCTGAGTAGGTTTTTGCTAATATTTTATGCCACTTTTAGCATCCTATGCAACATTTTTCTTGCACAGCACAAGTGAATATTTTTAGAAAATTTTAATAAATACTTCTAGCAATAGCATCTTCACTTAGATAGGCTCTACTGTAAATCTACTATGCTTATGGTGTACTTACAATTTACTAGATAATGGAAATCACGTCCTAAGCCTCACATGCCACCAAAAAGTTCCAACTGATTGTTTATTTGAGCAGTAAGTACGTGTGCATGACTGGGAAACCCCAATTTTTCCTGCCTGTTTACAGACCAAAAAACAAGAGAGAGAGAGAGAGAGAGAGAGAGAGAATTATTTGATCTAGGACAGATTTGCAGATAACCACTTACCTGGAACATTCATCATTAGTTTATGTCTGGCTGGTGAAGCTTTATTGCTTTGGTTGTCTGTGTTTACCTGGGGGATAGACAACCATTAGTGGCCGGCCATTGTTTTATATTTATGTGCAAAAAAAAAAGGGGAGAAAGCTTTCGAACTGAATCCCCAGATCCTGGGGACTAGAGTATGCCTTGTCGCTGATATTCCTATCCAAGTTCCTGAAGCTCTGGGTGAGGCAGCCTGGGCGAGCCCTGGGCCTTGCTTTGACTGTTTTTTCCATTCTCTGCTCTAGACTCCTCCCCTATCTTATCTCTTGCTAAATCAGGGTAGTTCCTACAGTCACTTTGCCCAACTCACTTTGCATAATTTTTCCTCTGAGTACCCCAGAAAGCTCTAACCAGGTTCACTGATTCCCACTCCAATCCTAGCCTCCGTACTTATATTTCTGGGCAGCGGCATTCAGTCAAGCGGTTTGGTTGGTTTCCATTTGTTCCCATCTTCTTCACTGAGCAGTCCTGGTACTCTCGCCTCCCTGTGGAACCACAGGGCCCTGATTGCCCAGTGTGGCATTCATGCCCAACAGCTCCATGTGGATCTGGTGGTTAACTTCTTCTACCAAGTGGAGCTGATTGAGCAGTGGACAACGGCAAGGAAAACTGAAGAATGTCACTGGCCACAGCCTGCTGCGAATGAGATTCTGTGCTCCTGCCATGTCATTTGTGATTTCCCTTTCTTGTGTCTTCTATGCCAGCATGGATTCAAACCTTTGGTTTTACCTGGAAGCGTCCAAGTGAACAACTGTTATTCTTAAAATATTCTTTGATGTGTGTGCAGAACCTCTGATTTCTATTATATGGAACAACAAAACATCCATTTTTTCCAGTGCTTCATTTTATACCTCAAATTCTGCTGAAGTGGTTTAGTTTTCTTGGAAGCACCCTCTTTTGTGCTTTCCTGGTCAACTTCCTTCCCTAGGTTGACAAAGCAAGCTGAGGATTTTCCTATGAAGATTTTTAGTTCTAAGCAACAGAAGTTAACTTACCTGTGTATTTATCTATGCGTATGCTGAGCAACTCCTTGCAACACTTTCACTTACAGAAGGGCGATGGTGACAACCTAGCAATGGTTAGGCCCAAAGCAGGTCCCTGCTGTTGCAGAACAGCAGCTACACAGAATGAGCATGTATTGTGTGGCTCCTATTGTACCAGGCACTTAATACATCATCTCATTTAGTCCTCAGAACAACTTGGTATATTCTGATGACATTATCCCATTTTATCGATGAGGAAAGTGAATCCCAGAAAAGTGAAGAAACTAGATCAAGATAACATGGAACAAAGATTTGCACTTGGGCCTCCCCAGGCCTAGCACAGTCCTCTTTCTTATTGAATTGCTTGTTTTTCTTGTTGGTGGGAAAGAGATTTGGGGAATTGTCTTGGTGGCCCTTAAAGCACACCAAGCCAGCATCTGTCTGTGTCCAAGGAGGCAGGCAGTGAGTCTTGTGTGTGTACATTTGCCCACCTTCAGAACCTTTGGCTCGTGCCTTTACCATCACTGTTTTCCACTCATTCTAGCAGATAGATTGGCCTCTTTCCCAACCTGGGTCTTGAGCAGAGTGGTTCATGAAGGGTTTGTTCAGAATCCTGATTCCAGGTATAATCTGCGTGAACCTCATGGAGAAAGAGCCCCTTCTCGGAAGGTATCAGGGCTCTTGTGGGTTGGCACGGCTGGTGGGGTGGGGTGGGGGAGTGGGCCTTACACAGGTCATTCAGCCCAGGGATACTGAACATGTCACTGACCTCATGACTCTGCTTCTATGCTATTTCACAGAACCATTTAAAGAGCAGCATATGAAAGAAAACATTTAAAAAAACATAATTTTATTCAAGAATACATTAAATGCCTTGATATTGAAATCTCTCCTTCTACCCCTTAAGTTGATTTTCCCTTATTTGGTTTTCCAGGTATGTGCAAAGAAATCATCCCTGTGTTTTAGATACTTGAAGTTTCCTAAAACCTCCTGTTCATCTCTTCTGAGCAAACCTTTTCTTTTCTCCCCAATATTTTAGGTATTTCCTAGACCATTTGAGCTCTTAGCTGGTATTGCATTTTTTTCCTGTATCTCTTCTAAATTTACCACTTGTTTAGTTTTTAATGTAATAATTAACAGAGTATAGTAACATGCCCTGACTTGGAAATTCAGTTTAACAGATGTTTACAGAGTGACTTTTCTGTGCATAGCACAGCTATGTGCTCTGTAGGACAGAAGAATGGATGCTGGCAGGTCCCCACTCTTAAATGCCTTACCACCTGACAAGTAAAAATGTAATTGTCTCAAAATTGGCCTTAGGGCCAAATAGAAATGTCTCCCACAATGATTTGAAGATATCACTTTTCAGATTTTTTTTTGTCTTTAAGACAGAGAGCTTGCTGTAATTTATAATTTTTCAGAAGATTTGGTCTCAGTGAAGTCGCTGATACTGTCTTCCATGCTGATGTCGCCCTCTCTGCGTTATTTTAGTGCACATGGCCAGTATTGCACAATTTATTTGTTCTCTCATTGTTTCCTGTGCATAGCCCTTTTCTACTCCCAAGCTAGGTGTAAGGTGGAGAAGGCAAGGGCAATCACTGTTACTTTTCTTTCCCTTAATATCTGCTAAAGTGCCAGAAAATTGTTATGCAAAAAGCAGCTGATTTCCTGGCTTATGGGCTGACACCCAGAAGAACTTCTCTCTCATGTCTACACATTTCAGATTTGCTGATTTTCATCCACCAACAATGGGCAAAATTGAATGAAAAGCTTGTTAGCATTGTGGACAAAATAAGAGCACTTACCTCTGAGTGATATTATAAAAGCTCTGTTATCAATGGAATTCACAACCATGAGATATAAAGGTTTAGTATTTTAATGTCTATTTTGTCTGCTCTGATGCTTCCCTTCTGCAACCTCATTCTTACTTTTCAGTTAATTCAATATTTTGAAATGGCTGAGGTTAGACAATAAATTCTGAGTAAATGTGGTATCATTATCATGACCTTCCAAATAAGTTTATAAATTGTTTTTTAATTTTCAGATGCAGAAAATGGGGGTTCTTTGTGACTTTATAGCTTTTGATTGATGAATGATGTGGGTGGGTTTTTGTTGGATGTATAAAAAAATATGCTATTTATAATCTATAGCATATTATTTTGTTTTCAAATATCTGAAAGGACTAAACCATTTACCTTCTAAAAATAATTCAAACAAATGCACAAAGTATAATTAATACATTAACGTTTACACTAGATAATTCTACATAAGAAATCCTTTTAACAAATCCCTATAACTAATAATTTTTTACTGGTATTTAATGAAGTGATACAATTCATAACAGTATTCTCCATTGGTTATGAATGCAGAACAGGATGGGATTTGGAAAATCCACCCAGGTATACTGAAGAGGAAGGATTACAATTGCACTTAAAAAAGAATCTTTCAAACCCAGGGATTAGAATTTACTTGAGATAATATTGGATTTGTTCTTATGGAAAACTCAAGTTGGCTGGGTGGCATGAACATTGGATATAGACTTCTTACAACGCAAGACAATTCCACTAGGATTTATTGAGTGCCTACTCGGAGCAGTATTCCCACTCAGACCTTCAACCAAGTATTAACCAGATACAATATTGCTTCGTTCCAAAGATACAGTGAAATTGAGGATATGAAGGCTGATATGGCCTTATACCCCAAGCAAGTATTTATTGAGTGCCTAATGTGTCAAGAACCATATTATTATGTTATATTATTTTATTATTACTTTTTTCAACAGGGTCTCACTGGTTGCCCAGGCTGGAGTGCAGTGACATGATCATAGCTCACTGTAGCCTTGAACTCCTGGACACAAGGGACCTTACTGCCTCAGCCTCCCGAGCAGCTAGGATGACAGGTGTGCCCCACCATACCCAGATAACTTAAATTTTTTTGTGTGTGTAAAGATGGGGTCACACTGCCCAGGCTGGTCTCAAACTCCTGGCCTCAAGCAGTCCTTATGCCTCAGCCTCCCCAGTGCTGGGATTACAGACATAAACCACTATACCCGGCCCCATTCTTGATTATAGATAAGAAAACTGAAGCTTGGAGAGTGTAGCTAATTTGCTGAAACATAGGAGCCAGGGTTTGTAGTCAGGTCTAACTCCAATGATGGGGAGCTTCCTTTCTGTCCCATTGTCTCCCATGTGGCTACAACCAAAATTTCCTGCCTTGATAGAATCCTTTCTCCCCTTCCTTGGGCTGGGGATAGCACAGTGACCTGGGGCAGGAGCACCACCTGCAACTACGTAAGATGGAGACAGAAGGGCTTAGATGTCAGCAACGGTCAGTATGCTTCATGAATGGGAATTCTAGTTCCCTGACTTACAGAAATTTTGAGAGAATTGGCTCTGGTATTAGCAAGAAGTACTTTGAGCATCTCAGATGAAAGGCTCTAGGTGAGTACAGAGGGTGGCTATTAGAGACTGGCATGGAATTTTATATAAAGGAGGGTGCTTACTAATTATAAGATAGCTACTCATTTGTAGATTTATTTTCTAGTTTAATCTCTCATTGTTGCTATTACAAGGACAAGAAAAAATGCCCAAAGGTTTATGACCAAGACTCAAAAGCTAAGCTTGCATGTCCTGGAAAGACCTATCTGATTAAAATAATAAAAATAATAATAGTAATTAGAATAAATCCTGTTTATACCTAGTCTTTGCCTGAATGTCTTTAGAATCCTGTAAAACTTTGCCTTTAGTATCGACATTCGTTCATTGGTCTGTGCTTGCCTGAGCATCTGAGAACATTTTAGAAATATTAGAAACTGACAGGACCACAGAATTAACGAGTCCTCATCTTCGGAGCATACCTGTTGGGAGGAGGAGAAGAGAAAGCTCAACTTTTTCCTCCTGTAGCCTAGACGGCTGCAAATCTTCCAGTTCCTTTCATGTTCTTAGTCAATCCTGGTTCAGCCCTAAAGGTTCTTATTATAAAGTCCCCTCAAGTTAATGTTTTCCTTTGTCTATTGTTTAATTTAAATGACCCAGGCAGTGGCTCAGAAAGGAATGCAATTCTCATAAAACATTTTCCCACATTAAACAATCAAAAATTATTTGGGGGGAAGAAAAGAAAGAAAAAGCAGGAGCAGGAACTTGGAGTTTTGGAAATCCTTTCACAGAAATCTGATTGGTACTTTTCTTTTGTGGCTATAAATAGAAAGCCAAGGAACGGTTAAGTGCTAGGGCCAAGGTCACAGAGTAGATGGGAACTGCCACGCAGGAGTGAACGTGGACCGTTCGGGTCATGAGGTGCGCATTCTTTTTGTGAAAAAGCATTTCAATATTCTTTATTTTGGGGTCCTGTCTTCAAAAACCATCCATAGATACCATTTGCCAGCCTCTTCTTTCTCCCACCTGCTTCCACTTCCTCTTTTATGTAATTTTCACTTGACTGATTATTTTAAAATGCAGCCAGTGGTCTCCTCGGTCACCTCCCTAGCCTCATCATGCTATGCTAATTAAGTTAATGATAGTTGCTGTAATAAACTCACCCCTAATTGTACATTGACTTGAACAACAGAATTGTTTTCTCTTGCTGATATAGAGTCTAAAATGGTTGTCAGGACTGATAGGGTTCTACCCTCCAAGCAGTGATCTGGGAACCTGAGCTCCTTTTGTTTTGTGGCTCTACTATCTTCAACATTTGGCTTCCAATGTCATCCTGGGTGCAAGCACTCAGGGATGGAAAATAGCACGGAGCAAGACAGGCAGAAGGTTGGTATGTGCCTGGTCTGGAAGTGACCCATATCATTCTGTTCACATTACGTTGGCTAGAACTCAGTCAGGTGACCACACCTAACTACAAGGGAGTCTGAGAGTTGTAGTTGGCTGCATGTCCCGGAAGAAGAAATGGGATTGTATCTGACCAGACTGCCTGGCGTGGCCACTTTCTCCAGCATTGACTTCTGTGTTTCCTCCTCTCATTGGATGCTTTTACTGGTCCTGTTAGGTCCTCTCAGTAGCAAGTACAACAGACTCTCCTTAGAGAGACTTTTGTCTTCCTTTGTCACCTCTTCTTCTCCAGACTCACTTCCTGTGGGAGCCCCTTGGCACCCGGCCTGCTTCTGTGCCTGAGTAGTGCTTCTACAGGGTTCTGCTTCCCTTTTTCAAGCTTCTCTGTTTTGTGTGCCTCATACATTGCAGGAGAACAACGAGCTCCCTGTCTTCTCACGTTAGCCTCCTCGGTGCCCAGCTCCCTTCTTTCCTTCTGTGCCCGCACCTTGTCTCCTAAACTAGAAGCTCTGGGCTGCTATTTCAGTAATTCCATTTGCATAACCCTTTTGGGGTGACAGAGCAATTTCTCAGATATTAATCCTATATACAGTCTGAAACACAGGCATCATTCATGCCATTCCACCCATCAGAAAACAGATCTGGGGAGAAAGGTGACTTTCCCAAGGCTATGCCGTATGCACAGCATGAAGACTTAAGCTCAAAGCCCAGTATTGCTTTGAATTTCTTAGAGCTCTTAATTTAATTCACCCAAACCACCTGTTGTAGGGATTTACTATTGCTGTCTCTATTTTTCCACTGCTCCAGCCTCTTGGCTCTTCTGCTGTCTGTGGTCAAAAACATAGAACATCTTCATGCCCTGACTTTGTATCTGTATTAGTCTGTTTTCAC